ACAAAGCTTCCAAAATTGTCATCTATGGTGATATGAGAAGTAGGACATAGAAGTGTGAAGGAAGTTATACAGATATGGACATTTCACAACAAAGTGTTAAAGTGCCACTGGCTTCTTGCAGCTCACAGTACTGAAAAAGAAAAAAATAAGGGGTGCACTCTTAAAAGAACAAGGTCCAGATGGTGCCGATGGCACTAAAATTAAGAAATAGTTATCTGGTCAGATAACCTTGTGATTTCAAAGAGTTGCTGCTTTGGCAGTGGTTATTTTAAGAAAAATACTACTAGGGAAGTTTCAGTTTCTACTGCATTCATCATCTCGTGAGATCTGATGTGTTGAAGTTCTTTTGATACAGCACACAGCATGTTTGATGATGGTTACTTGCCTCATAAAGATATGGAGAAGAATCCTTTGGACACAGAGCAGATGACACCTCCTGTTTTGTAGTGTATCCTGGTGTCTCTTTCTGTAATGTGTCACGTAGTTGTTTTGTTGTTGTCATTGGGCTTTTTAAAAAAACAAAACAAACAAAAAATTTGGTCTCTTTTGGTGGGGTGGGCTAAAGCCACAGGAAGAAAAATGTGATGTATGTGTCCAGTATTTTTCTTTTGCAAGAAGAGTTGAACTATTTTGGATAAAAAAGTAAATGGTGGAAAATGCAAAAAAAAAAAAAAAGGAAGAAAAAAGTTGTCAAGCACTGAAATGCTGTAGCTGTGAATAGACCAAAGCAACTTACAGAAGAAAGAACTTAATTGGGGCTTGCTCACAGTTTCAGAGGTTTAGTCTATTATCATCATGGTGGGGAGCATTGTGGCATTCAGTCAGAAACTGGAGCAGTAGCTGAAAGCTACATCCTAATCCATAGGCAGAAAGAGGTGAGAGGAGTAAGGAGGAGGGGAATGGGGACACAGGACCTGGCATGGCTTTTACAACCTCAAAGTTTTCTCCATGCGTAGTCCTTGTTTGGGTTAGATAGGGGTCAGATAGAAGGGGAGGAGGACCTTCCCTATCAGTGGACTAGTGGAGGGGCATAGGAGGAGATGAGGGAGGGAGCGAGGGAGGGTTTGGGAGCAGATGAGGGAGAGGGCAACAGCTGGGATACAAAGTGAATAAATTGTAATAAATAATAAATAAAAAAATTTAAAAGAAAAACAACAACAACAACAACAAAAACAACTCCTCAAAGTTCACCCCCTGTGACATGTCAGGAGCCTGGAGCCATTGATCTGGCAGCTGCTTTGATATTTAAATATCAGCGGAAAGACTGCTTTTACCAGGCCTTCACTGAAGTCAGGGAAGAATTTGCAAGTCCATCTCCTTTTGTTTGTGACAGCAGGTGGGATAGCTTGTGGAGATCACAACTCTTGCTTCACCTTGTAAATTTAACCCATTGTTCTGAGCTGTTTTTACTCTGGCTTAAAAGCTCTTTGCAATAAAGTCAGGCTGCTCCTGGCTGGTCGAGTCCTGGAGCCTCTTAGAAAAGTCCCATGTGTCTTGTGTGTTAGTTTATTAATTTTAATCCTGACTCCCAACTCAAGAATTGTTCGACTCTGCTGGTGGGCTCTGGCAGTGACAGACTTGCTCTAACAAAGTCACACCTCCTAATCCTTCTAATCCTTTAAAAGAGTTCCACTCCTTAGTGACTAAGCATTCAAATATAAGAGAGTATAGGGGTCATCCTTATACAAACCATCAGACACTGACAGAAAAAACTGGTGGGTACCTGTTTAACTTCTTGAGGAAGCCTCAGAAAAACTGAAGAATGAGGGCAGACTGGGAACATGTAGAGAGTCCACTAGAATGCAAGAGGAAGGGTGTGACTCAGGGACCCTCTTAGTCACACACAGGAAGCCTAGCAAGATGCCAGTTGTGTTCTAACCACCTCAGCAGGACTGTAAGTCAGAGAATCAGCTGCCTGAAAAAGTTCTGGGACTATGCTTTTGGTTTAGAAGAACAAATCCCAAGGAGATTACATAAGTCCTTTAAAGTTTCTCAATTTCAGCAACTTAGAAGGAAAGGAACATGGGAACTGCTAATGAAATGCTATTGGGTACTACTGGCAGCAAGGAGGCTGACGCAAGTTTCACCAACACTGGTGAGACTTCTCAGCTGCAAATATCTGCTGACTTTACAGCCAAGGGAAGATAGTTCAGGGAGCCGAGCTAAGAGCCTACAAGGCTGATCCAAGGACCGTGGAGCAGTATGCCCAGGTCAAAAGTAACTCCCCAAACTCACCTGGCTACACTGCAGGATTCCTTAGAAGAAAGACTGTAGAGCCTTCCATTTTCACTTTCTAAAAAAGGGAATGTGTATAGCTGTCATTTGTTGCCCACTTCCACTGCTGTATAGCGTGAATGTTGATGACAGGCAACTTGTCTTTTTGGATTGAGATTGACAGACCAAGAAGCGCTACTGCAAACAGCGTCTCATACACATCTTATTTAGGTGGTGGTGCTTTGAGTTTTTGAGGTAGGATTTAATGAGTTATAATGTTGGAAACCCTGCAAATAGATGAAAGACCTTCTGCAGAAGGTAGGGTATGAGTGACTTGGGGACAGAGGATGGTCTGTGATAGACAGAATTCAAGGGGACACCAATGAGACTTGCTCCATCATGCCACCATCCCCTTCTCGGTAGTGTGGGCAGGGCCAGGATTTCCTTCCTACTGAGCAACTATATCCAGATGAGGGTGTGTCCTGTGACTATGGTAACTAGTTCATAAATTCAGTTTATGAAGAGATGGAAACCAAACTAGGAAGACACAGTTGTCAAGGGCTTGGCATGATGTTCCACTGAGAGAATGGTGCAGTAATTGCATGTTGTTTTTGTTTTAGTTGATGGAGCCAAAGTGACAAAGCAGTAGGAAACTAACTCAATTGCATTTTGATAGTGTTGAATCTCTGTACAATCTCACCTTATTGGTGACGTTTGGAAAATTGGTGCCTTTATTAAGATCTTCCTGCTCAAGAAATCAATTGCAATGTTATTAATATTAGAAATAAAAGACTGTTCGTGCGTTCTATAGCAAAAAATAAGTGATGCGAAAATTCCCTGGAGATTGTGCTTGAGGCTAAGCTCCTACTGGATTAGGTCATGCATTGAAACCCTTTCTGTGAAATCATTAGCTATGTTGCTGGCATTAACTGAATTTGGGAGAAAATCAATCCATTTAGTTGTTGCCATTCTGGGCTTCTTTGAGCTCTTTAATATCACAACATTTAATAAATTACTTTATATGCCTGGTCCTAGAGTCCTGTACCTTCTCTTAATCAAATTATCAAATGTCTCCACTTCCAGAATCACAATGGGTTTTCTTTGATGTGGTGATCTAAGAAATCTAAGAATATTTTTGCTTTCAGAGACCAAGGTACATCAGTTATTTGGCTTATCTGAAATTCCTGGTAGTCCTCTAGAAGGCATATTCACTAGAGATGTATCAGTTTATACAAACCATACAAGTCTATATTCTTATCATCCAGCTCCTTGTTACTTAAAGTAAAAATTTTCTATATTAAACAATCCTGTCTCTAACCCCTCAAAACATGTCTCCTGTAATCAAAGAATGTGTTAGGCATAAGGCACAGTAGCCACTTGTTTTTAAATCCTTTTTTAAAAGGATGGCTTTATGAACAGTCGAGGGCAGAGACAGAGCAGTATATTTGCAGCCTTGTGCTTCCTGTGTGTTCAGCCTGGGGAAGGGTGTCTGTGGAGTACCTGGACCCCAGGGCTGCTTTTGCACAGCCAGAAGTGACTTCTCCCAAACAGGATGCACCTGTGACAACATTTGTTACAAACCTTCCGACGAGTTTAAAATCTTACAAGCCTTGGAACGGACAGTGAGAAGATCTCTCCTCAATTTGGCTTTCTCGCCTATCAACTGGCGTTAGATGGAATACTGCAGACAGTCTGGACAAGACTCTCGGGACTGCTTCGGAAATGACAAGCCCTGCCTGTGTGTGACCGTCGCCTTCCTTACACCCTTAGTGAAAAGGATGAAATCTTAACTGGTAAGTAAGAAACTGGATGGATGAATGGTCTTCCTAGTCACTCTCAATACTCAATATGTTCTGTAAAACTATGTAAAAATCAATAAGCAGGCTCTTTGCTTATAAAAGTCCATGACCACATGTAGACACATGCTGTTTTTATGAGATTCCCTGAACCTGGGTAGGAGCCTCTATTTTTTTTTTTTCATTAAAAGGCACTGGTAACCATTCAATAGACGTGTGCCTGTATAAGTCACCTGCACACATGCATATGTCCTAAAAGTGCTGTGAACATCACCTACAACTTTTCACTCACAATAGTGATGAAGTGGAATATGCATTCAGTAGGCAAGGGAGAGAAAAGGAACAAGGAATAGATTCTGGCGGCAAAGCAAAATGGTTAATTCTGTAACAAAATAATAAAAATACCTTGTTGGATCCAAGTCTCAGGTCTATTTGCATAGATGGAATACTGAACCATGAAAGTCTCCATGGAAAGCATTTTCCTTTGTGGTTGGTACAGCTCAGAGGGGTATGAACCAACAGATAAGCAGGTAGACAGGTACAGCCTCCCCCCAGTTTGTTCTCACCTGCCTACACCCCAGCCTAATGGGAACTTCTTTATCCTATCTGCCCTTATCACCAGGACCTGCTGGCGTTTGTAGTTTCTGAGACAGAGCTACCTGAAATAAACTCAACAACCATTTTCCAGCAGGCTCGATTTCTGAGTGCACTGAAGCCCAGCACATGGGTGCCTGTGGTTCCTGAGCATTCAAGTGACTTGAGAATGGATTCCCTGGGCCAGTTCAAACATGGAGGAAAACAGGACCAGAACGAGGCTCTTCATGGGAACCTTAGATCAACATGGAAGGATTTCAGAAAAATAAGGTCCGGGTTAGCTTAACAGAGAGGAATGCCATAGATAAAGGAAGCTAGATTCCCAAAGTGAAACTCGCAGCTCTGGGATGGCAGGAAGCATGCAGGGGCTGGCATAGGAACATAGCTAGCACCTACCTTTCCTCCCGGTTCTGACCCACACATACGCGGCCTCCGTGCCTGGGCGTGGGGTTGCTGCAGGAGCGTTGGCGCACCTGGAAGCCGATGCCACAGGAGGTGCTGCATGGCGACCAGGAGGTCCAGGGAGTCCAGCCTCCGTTCCTGCAGAAGTGATTCAATACTCAGTCCAGCCAGCTCAGTCAAGTCTCATCTGCATCTATTGCAAATGTCTTTGTCTCAGGATTTTTGTTTTGTTTTGTTTTGTTTCGTGGTCTCAGAGAGGAGGGAACTACAGCCTTTGGACAAAGCACACTGGGAACCTCGGCTACTTTGAGTTACCTTAGAGTTGGCATCTGATGTGACTGAAACAGTTAAAGAACTTTAGTTGTGAAAATTTCAAACTATTAGAATGGTATTTTACTGCGAAGTAGTAGAAGTGAATCCTAAACTTATAAAATTCCCAATCTTAGCTGACTCCTGTCACATCTGTTGTAACACAGGAACGGTGCCCCTGAGACAGACACATCTTCCAAAGCCACACACAGCACATTCTATTAAACCTAAGAGCAGTAAGTACACATAGTCCTGCAGGCAGTGTTTGTGTTAAGGACAAGTGGAACCTTCTTCACTATTTCAAGACAATTTTCTCAAAAATGAAGGGGGAAAAATTAAGTACTTAATTCAGGATCACACAAATCTGTATGCAACCACGCTATTGTGCATACAAAATGACACAGTCATATTAAGGAATAAAAGTCACTCACAAGAGAGATTGCTATTGACACACATTTTTTCAGTGGTGTAAATTTTTTTCATAAAGTGACAATCTATTCAGAGTCTGTGTAATTTACATATCTCCCTTAGAAGCCTTCCCGTGCTATTGACAAGGGGTTGTAGGTACTTTGTTGTTTGGGCATTAGAGCAGTCCCTGTGGTGCTGGCCTGAGCTCCTGTGCATATTTTGCATGGGACTTCTATTTGTTTCTAAGCTCCGCTTATCTATGCAGTTATGTTGTGTCTCCATATACGTCTGCACACCGGAAGAGGGCACCCGATGGTGGGGGACTACCGCCACGCACAGCTGTGAACCATCTTAGATGGTTGCTGGGGACTGGACTCAGGACCTCAGGAAGAGCAGCCAGTGCTCTTAACCCCGGAGCCATCTCTTGGGTCTCAGGACTGTTGAGACTGCTGTCACATGCGTCCTTGTATCTTCAGCTACCAGATTCTCTTGTTTGGAACAAGATCAGTTCACACCTGTCTTTAGTTTTTCCCTTCTTACCTTTCTTTAAGAACACAAAAGTATGTAATGGTAAAACTAAAGACATAGGTTCAAATATCTAAGCTGAGATAATTAACAAATTATTTACTTAAATAAACATTTCTGAGAAATTTTTATATAAAAATTTAAATATATTTAAAATTTAAGTATATTTAAAATCAGAGCCTCATGATGTCATCACACAGAGTTTGGGAGACTTTGACAATGGGGTCAGGACACGGTCATCTGCTTACACCTCTGCAGCATCACTGAAACAGGCTGAATTACTTATGGTTTTAACCTGAATTAAGCTGCACTGTAAGCTTGCTCAGGGTGACTCTCCAGCAAGAACTAAAGCTCTGGGGATGAACAACTGCAGCCCAGCACTCCGCTCTCTGAGTAACGAAATAGAATGAAACAGCGTCAGCTGGTCATTGTCATCTTCAAATCAAGTCCAGTAACCTATGTCAGGCTCCTGCCAGGCACTCAACAAATCCACCTCACTGAACAGAAGTTATGTGAAGCAAGATATAATGCTGACACACCTGTGGTTTCTGTTTTATTACATAACTTTATCTTTGTGGCCTGCCTTGGCTTCTGTAAACTTTATGGGGGGATTGAACCCACCCTAGGAAAACTCCTGACAAGGACATGGCTTGTCTTTTTCTGTCTGTATACCCTGCTCTGACTACCTTGACTGCCTTGAGCTCTCACACAATTCGACTGCCCACTCTGATCTTCAGTCATTGGCTTTCCTCACTGTTTCTTCATTTTAGGTTTATGATAAGCAGGTAAGATTTTAATAAATGACCTATTAGTAATCAAGTGAGGAGGGGCTTACAAATTGACCCATGAAGCTCTCCTGATGCTATGGTCTACAGGGGAAGCAGGTAGGACATGTAAGTGCTGTTAGAAAAGAACATTAGGCAACTCAGATGACCTCAGTGGATCACAACATCTGGATGACACCAATGGATCACCACATCTGGATTGCCTTAGTTAAGGGTCTGAGGTCAGAGAGCTGGGGTATGCTGAGTTCTGATCTGCCACAGCATAGAACAAAGATTTATTCATGCTAATGCGTCAGACTCTACAATTAGGGGTTATCAGTCACATATTTTAGGATGATCTTACGTAATGGACATTCCTATCAAAGAAGTCAATTATACTTAGTAAATTTTACTATTTCTTATGCACTGATGAGCTTATAAACAATTTAAATTTACAACTTAACTTGAAGTTTTCAATTTTCTCCCACAAATGAGGTAATAATTAAGTGATCGGTATCCCTCTCTTTCTGCCATCTTCATCTACTAAAGGGATGACTTGAGTTAAGAATGATTGTCCAGACATCTCAATGCTCTGAGATAAAATGAGACTGTACATTAGAAAGATCTGAGGCACACACCTGGAGCAGTTGGTGATCTCCATTCTAGGGCCCTCACACTGCCAGCCACCACACTGTGGAGCTGGGCTGTCACAGGAGCGTGACCGGCAGAGGCAGGTTCCCACGGCAGTGCCATCTGTATGTGTACAGGGTGTCCATGGAGACCATGGACCAAAGCTCCCATCCACGGTGAGATTTCTGGTCTGGAATGCAAATAGAAGCATTGGTGTCAGAAAGGGAAAGCTGTAAAACAAACAAACAAAATGGCATGAAAACAAAATATCTTTCAAGTGGCGGTCATAACTCCTTCAAAATTTTAAGAAAATTAAAATTAGCACGGTGTATAGGAATATTCCAAAGTCCTACAGCATAGGTCACTGCTAGAGATTATGAGAAAGAGAGAGGGGGAGCCAGAGAAGGAAAAGGAGGAAGAAATGAAGAGCAGAGAGAGAGGAAGAGAAAGAAGGCAGAGAGTAGGAAGTGGAGAGTAAAGGTTAATGACTCAGGAATGAGGTTTTGGCAGAACTGCCCATCAAGATGGGAAACTCAAGAGAAACCCACAGAGGTACAAATCCAATGCATCTTTTTATACACCGTAAACACCATAAAAATTCAAGAAGGATTTATCCTGGTTTGGTTCACATGTTACCTCCAAGGGACAATGTTTGATGCCAAGCCCATCTTAGTGGCTCCCAAGCAATGGGATTGCTACAGTCTTCAGGCTTATTCTTGTCAAAGCTATGCTGTGAGCACCTGAGTTTGTATGCTTGCCAGAGGGCTTGGCATGTGCTTATGTTTGTATGTTCTAGCTACTAAGGGAATCGCAGGGCTGTGCTGCTGGGGGTGGACAACAAGCTTGCTAGTGATGAGTTGTACAGAGTGGAAAGGAACCAGTAAAGGAGCTAGGCAGGATGCTTGATGCCAAGGATAGCCTGGGTAATGCCAGAGAAATAAATGCATTTGTAGTTCCCAAGGCTGGGCTGTTCCCTGTCAGAGCGTGTCACTACAGGATGCTTTATAGTCATGTGGTGGTAGTGGAGAACAAATGATGCAAGACAGTGATACTGACAGAGAGCTGAGTGCATAGTCTCGGAGACTTCTGCAGGTCACTGAAGGCAAAATTCTGGGCTCTGGCCTCACCTTGCATGTGGTGATGGTTTTCCGTGTGGTTGGGACATCAGTGCTTGAATATTAAAGAGGGAGCAGCTTTATGATACATGTGATAAGAGATCTCTTGAGAAGACAGACTCCTGGGGCCAAAGGTTAAGTTCCCTGCCCAAGGTCTTCCTTTCAAAAAGGAACAAATGGGACTAAAATTCCAGCCTCTTTTTAATATGAAGACAGTCTGGAGCCAGAGAATGCAAACAGAAAATCCACAGTTTACTTATCCTCAGATCTTCATCAAATTTTCTAAGACTCATCTGTCTTCTCAGGCAGTCATTATGAGAAAGGCACCAGTCCCAGAAGGAACAGCATTTTTGATCCACCATTTCGCTAAGCACTGTTCTCAAGTGTCCACAGACCTGGCTAGAAGGATTTTCTGGGAAAAGGAATCTGGGACAGAAATTCTTACCATAGATAAGAAGATAAAGGCCAGCTACTGCTGTGGCAGGCATTTTCGCATTGAAAATATTGTATAATTTAAAAAATCATGGGCGGGTTTATACCACTGGCTATCATTGTTCAGAAAGAGAACGACTGCCCACTGAGCTATTGGTGAGCAGATAAACTGTGGAAGAAAGGACTGCAGAGCTCAGAGCTGCATGATGCCTGGTGGGGGTCTACAGCTGCTCTGTGTGTGACAGACAGGTGCCAGGCCCTTTTAGTAAAACCAACTATATCTGAAAACAATGTGTCACAGATCTTCACATTTGATGCAGAAACCCAAACAGTGTGAATCTAAGCAAATGTATAAGTCAAGATAACTTGAAAAGCTCCAGTGATACACAGAGCACTGACATTCAGGTAGTTTAATAAATTACCCCCACTCAAACATGTTATATAATATAGCACTTCATCGTGGACAGGTTTATTTCCTTGTTTATTAGATGCTGACCTAGTCCTGTTGTGAGAGATGGAACCAGAAGCCTCCAAAATGTTACTTCTAGTTCAAGGAAATGCAAGACTACAAACAAATTAAAAACTCAGTAAGTCATGTAGCTATGTGGTAGGCAGAGCATCACACTGAAGAATACATGTATGAGCTTGTCATGACCCTGCCAGGGAAACAGAATGATAGTCTGTAGGATTGTACAGGGAGGCAATGAGATGAGAGAGCATTAGGGAAATCTCAAGACTTGCTGTGGATCCCAGGGACCAGCTGTGCAAGGAGCTTCAGTAATCCTAGGCTCCCAGGTGGGAAGGTGGGTAAGATTGCTGGAACCAGGTGAGAATGGGAGCTAGACAAGCACTGCCATGCATAGCCTTAGTCATGGAATCATGATATCCTGGCAGAAACAGCCTTTTACTGAAAAAAAGCAAGAGGGAGACACCCAAGGCTGCCCCCACCTGCCATGACAGTCATCCGCTAAATCCAGGACAGGTGGGGTGGGGAGGTTGAACAGTACACACCAAGGAAGGGAAGGCCTTAGCAAAGAGAGCTGGTCACTTGTATACTTCTCACTTCTCAGTGAAGGAGAAAAGGATATAAGGATTAAGTATGATTTATTTATTAATTAAAGATTTCTGGATCCTCTGAATAGTAATCAGAACTGTGAGAAAAAGAGATGGTTGGAGGATAATTAGAAGATCAGGGGCAAAGAAAGTTCTTTCCAAGTTAATGTTCATTGTGTTTCTCCTTGAAAATACAAAGGTAGAGCAATGACGTGGTCATCTATACAGCAAAAACTAATGTCACAAGGCCAAGAAGAAGTAAAATGTAGCAGGAGGAAGAAAAGAAAATGGAGAAGGAAATCACCTGCAGTGCAGCCCAAGCACTTCCCCGAAAGGCATCTCTCATTCTGTAGGGGATGTGAGATTCTCAGTTTTGTAATTCAAAGAGCGGTGGACATGAATGCCAGAGGAGGCAGGTTTTATATAAGAAACATTATGAATAAGACAGATTTGGAATTTCTTATACCAATTATTGCCCAACATTGGCTAGGACAGAAGTTTTCACTCAAGCCCAAGGCTAAGGATGGATCCTAGCTGGTCTACGGGAGTCATGCTTTGAATATAAATGTTCCAAGAACTCACATGTTAAAAGCTGGTTCCTAGAATATTCTACTGTTAAGAAGTGAATGGGCCACGAGGGCAATGCTATTATGAATAGACTACTGCATCAAGTTTACCACTCAATGGACTATATGGAGGTAGGGCCTACTGAAGATGCTGCCTCTTCTGTAAGCAGCTTCCTCACTGCCAGAGAGGCTGAAGCTACCTTCTTTCTTGCAGAATTCGTTACTATGGTTACATTCAGCAGATCACAGGGGGTGGTCTTATCCCTGGACCCCTGTCTTCTTTCTGCTTGCTGACTTCCAGATTAGCAGTCACATGCTGCTAAAAGTTTGAACATACCAGGAGGCTGATCATGCCATATGCTTTCTGCCATCATGGCTAGCCTTGCCTCAGGGGCAGGCTCAATAGATGCCAGTGACCGAGGGCTGAAACCATGGGGTACGATGCATTTGTTTCCTTTCAATTTGCTTTCCCAGTTATTTCGTCACAGCGATGAAAAGGTAAAGGACACACGTGGACTCCTGGTGACCTTGCTCAGTGCTTGCTTTTAGGGTAAACACAGGACCTAATTCTTGTGAATGACCTAACAAGAGAGTGTAAGGGCATCTATAAAAATTATTTCTCTCCAGATACGGGAGAAAAATGTTTCTGCTTTTTAAATCCCTCCTGGTTTGAGCACTTCCATGTGAAGGTGGAATGTAATGTAACATTCACCTTTTATGACATCCTAAAATGTCCCTAGGTATTTCTAGTTGTCCCTGGCAACTATCCCCTTCATTTCCTAACAAGATTCACAACTCTCATCATTCTCTGTTCTTTCTGTGGGCCTGGCTTGAAATGAAGGCTTTGGGCAGAGAGATTTTTTTAGACTTTCCTTCCTGAATATATATACAAAGAAAAGATGAATTAATAGTAATGGCACAGGAGGAGGGGTTACCTGATATGTGCCAATTTGTAAAGACCAATGTAGCAGAATAACCGTTTTCATAAAACAGTTGAAGGAGAGGCATTGGGCAGACACTGGTCAGAACACACACAAGATAGAATGTAGCTACAGTGACTAATCTACAAGGAAAGAAGGTGGCTTCAGTTCTGTATGGCAGTGAGGAAGCTGCAGAGAGGAGAGGCAGAACCTTCAATCCAGGGCTGTTGAAGTTTGTTACATTACATTCTGGAGCCTAGACGAACTTGCAAGCCTCAGGGAGGCATGAGAGCAGTGAGTGAGCTCCCTGTACAGCATTCAGCCACATGCCTGGTTGGATCTTGAGTATCTTAGATTGAAGATCTGTCTAGAAAAATAGTCCTAGGAATAATGGTGTGCATCCTGGGCCTTCAAGTTTGAAATTGAGGTACTTTAAAATTTTCAGAGTTTCCCTTGAAACAATGCATGGAATAAAGGCTAGCAATTGGCACAGTGAGTGGATACTTGGCTAGCATAGACAAGACCTGAGTCCTACCCAGGAACTGAGAAAAATAAAATGAAAGAAAGCACTCTAAAATAAACTGTCCAAAGTTTTCTCCCAACTGACCTTCTTCTTCATATACATGCTTTATGCTATCAAATACAAACCCAGAGTAAAGCATGCCCCGCACACCAGCAGTGCACGGCTACTGTGCGGGATTCAATGTGTCACCTCCTTGAATCCTCACCACATCCCAAGTTGTCTGTGTCTGCAGACCACTCAACAAGCAGTGCAAACCACCTGGTTCAGGAACCTGTGCAGACTTTTCAGCTGCCCCTCCGTATTATGGTTCTGTTACATGTTTCCCCTGCAAGGGGCTTCTAAGAGCCAGGCTCACCCCACTTTGCCTTTTCCAACACTAAAGAAATAGTGAATTATCAAGGGTTAGTTAAAGAGGATCCATGTTTTATAACTAAGAATAATTTTTTCACATGGGTTCATTCATTCACTAGCTCTCCACTGACCCAGGATGTACACACATTAATTTGAGTGCATAGGTCCCTGGACATCTTTATATTTTTCTTATATTTGGCTATTATTCTTTGTATTTTTTTGTTTTTTTATTAATGTGTGTGTGCATTTTGCATGTCCATGTAAGGAAATGTTCTATGTGTCTGGGTCTCCACAGAGGCCAGAAGCAGGCGTTCGATCATTTGGAAATGCAGTCACAGGTAGTCATGAGCAAAGTAGCAAGAACTTTGAGCATCAAGCCACCTCTCAAGTCCCTCCAACTATTGTCATTTTATGGCTGAAGTGAAGTCTTAAATTTTTATCTGGACATGTTTTCTTCAGAATTACTAGATCTTCCTTTATTTTCAAAGCCTTTCATATCTACATCTAGTGTCAGCATGAAGCAGGATATTGGATAAGCTCCCCAGGAAGTTTGGCCTGATGTTATGACATCAATTTAATATCCATCCTAAGCTTATCTCTACAGATGAATTGTAAGGAAAGATGAAGCTTTGCACAGGACTAAGCCGCTGTCCTGTGTGGCTTGTAGTGGACTAATGAATGGGGCAATCTTTATTTAGTGCTTGTGAGTCCCAGTTAGCTCGTCAATAAAATGAACCAATAGTGCCCATTCCTAGAAATCACCATGGACATTAAACAGCCCACGGGCCAGCTGGTAAGCAACACGTTCAGAGACAACACCACAGCCCCTAGAGCCAGAATGGTGCTTAAGGGTCATTCCTTCTCAGGAACACCATAGATATCAACATCCTGGGGTAATGAAAGCGGTGAAGGAGCTGTTGGGTTCTGTTCTGTGGGTCACAACTTAAAAAGGGTATTAATCAGAAGTGCCTTCTAGCCTACTCTTGGTTGAGATGGGGAGCCTGTCCCAAAAAGCTAAGGTAAAAGTAAAAACAGGAACCAATTCCCAGAGACTCTCTTTCTCTTTCTCTCACTCTTTCACACACACACATACACTACACAGACATTTTATTGCGAAAAAGAAACAATGTTTTATCTGTTCTCTGAATGCAATGGGCAGTGTTGGGTCATTATTCCTTCTATCATTTTATTATTTGAGAAGACACAGAGGTCTGGGAAGTCATATTCCTGTAGCAGAGCCTGCAAGACACTCTAGATATAAAGCTGGCTTTTCTCCTAATGGTTATATACCCCTGGAAAAACACATCAGAAGTTCAGCGATTGCCATCTAAATGTAGGCATTGGTTTTGGTCACTGCCTAAATACCTTTTTTTATCTAAAGTTCCTGGTTATGCAGGATCCTGAGAAGAACCGTCATTAGAAGACACTAAGATGGTCCACCAGTTTTGCTGGTTCTTACAGGGCATGTTGCGAAACAAAGGCTCATTCTGTTGTATTACATAATACAGTGCACATCCTTCAAAGGACATAAACAGTATTAGTGGATAAATGAAGCCCCGGTAGATTCCTAAGACTGCACAACTTTTGGTTCACAACATTAGAACTTAGACAAAGACATGTAACTGACCTTGGTCTAAATATGTCAGTTTAAGTATGTTAGTTCCTTAAGCACCACAATTTTCTTTTCTTTTCTTTTTTAAATTTTCTTAACTGGAGAGAAATGTTTTTAATTATAACTTTTAAGAAAATAGGACAACTATATATATTTAATAAACTATTTTACAGTCTTCTGGAGTAAAAATGTGTGGACATTTTAAAACTGGTCCTCTTTAGTGGAAAAAGGAATGCTTGATTTTTTTTTTCCTAGAATGAAGCCCTGGAGAACTACTGTTATGGTTTGAGGTACCTGTTTCAAAATTCAAGTGTTGCTATGGTGACAGCATTTAATGATCAGCCATAAATGTTCCTCTTTGGTGGATGTCTTAATTATTTTTCTAGAAGGTTGCCATGTGGCCCTTGCTCCATTGCTCTCTTACTTTCTCTCATGGCTTGCGGGGAGGAGGGGGTTTCAACAGGAAATTCTCACCAGAGCCCAAGCTGGTACCTTGACATTTTATGTTTTTTGGGGTAATAAATTTCTGTATTAGTTTTAATTATTTGTTTATGTGTATATCTCTGTGTGGGGAAGGACAGGTGACCATATGGGTCAGGAGGTGAAGTTAAGGAAGTTGTGAGTCTCCTAATTGTGTGTGTTGGAAACCAAATTTGGCTCCTCTGCAAGAGCAGTGTATATTCTTTGCTGATCCACCTCTCCAGTCCCAGAACTAGGGGTTTGGAGATGTACCATTTTGGTGGGTTCACATAAATGGGTCTGGGGTGTCACTTCCTCTCAACATGATTTTGACTAAATGAACTCAAATGAAACAATATTCTTTCTTTTTCTTTCAAACACATTTTTACATAAGTTATGAAATAGCTGCTTTCCTTCAAAGGCCTCAGCAAGTTCCACTTGCTTTGTATAAAGATGTAGGTAAACATCCTTCAAAGAAATGAGGACTGTTAACTGATTGCAAAATCCTTTTGGCATTTATTATGCCTAAAAGCAGTTGGTACTTAGAACGCATTCAACACTGCACCTCTAAGGTCAGACATACGCTGGTAACACAGCACTGACCTGGCAGATGTCAACCCCTGGGTTTTGGCCTAAGTGTGGAAAATACAAGCAGAGAGACGATATTGCAGGGACCGCAACATAGAAGATACACACTTTAAAATCAATGTTCTATCAAAATCGAGAAACATGGATACAACAGATTTATCTAATGAATAAAATCTTTAATTTTAGTCAAGCAAGAGAATAAATAACATAGAGTGACATTTTAAACTAAAAAATTTTAAACCTAAGTAAGAGTACGGCTGCTTTAAAAAAATATTCCTAACTTGCCCAAAGTATAACTTGATGTGAACAAATCCATTGGGTAAAAGGAGGAGGTTCTCTACAAGAGACACATCTAATGTCTAGAAAATCAGTCCTCAGTATGTGTACTTGACATGGGGCCTGTGGTCACATCTCAGAGCCGTGACTAAGCAGCACAGCATGCCCATGCTGCCCTGAGAACTTAGCAGAATCTGTTTCCTCTTTAGTCTGAGACAACATAGGTGACGACTCTTTGGTCAAGTCTCAAACATTGGATTCTTCCCTTTCATATTTTTATTGCAGAATTTCCAAGATGGCCATCTCTTATAAAGCAAACACATGGGGGTGAATTTCACTCCGCATAGTCATGTCAGCTTAGATGCTCACGTCTGCACCATTAGTGCAGGAGAAGTGTTCTGACCATTTCAGAGAAAATGCAGTTATGCTATCTGCTTCTTACACTTTTTCTTTGTAACCATTAAAAATGCAAGGGCAAAAGTCTGCAGGAGGATGCACTGACTGTCTATGAGCACGTGTCTACAGAATGACAGTTTGGATGCAGTTCATTACGTTTTTACCTTCTACAAAAAATTTTAAGGTGACTGTCTTTGTGCTCTTAAAATGTTCGGCACTGAAAAAGAGTTCCTCAGTTCATGGTATTTTGAAAACCATTTTTACGTGATATGTTAGAGGAGTTCCCTTTTAAAATCAAACACCTAGCACTACAAAGCCAAAAGGTCTAAGCAGTGGTTCTCAACCTTCCTAATGCTGTGACCACTTAACATGGTTCCTGATGTTGTGGTGACCGCCCCGCCCCATGCCAACCAAAATGTCAGTTTTGTTGCTACTTCATAACTGTACTTGCTACTTACTTGCTATTGTTATGACTCGTAATATGTGTATCTGATATACAACTCCTGTGAAAGATCCATTTGACTCTGAAGGGGCTGCAACTCAGAGGTTGGGTACCGCTGGTCTAAGCTAACTCCATCTGTGAGCGCCGAGTGCCTCGATGCAGTGCCGTCCACACGGGCTCTTCTTGTGAAGGACTCAACACCCATAGCAACATCTGGGAAGGAAGCTGACCTTCCAAGTTTCACCCTGCTCCATTTCCTTCCAAGTTGAACGACATGCTTCATTAGCACGTGGTTCAAATCTGGAAGGGGCAGCTTCTGAAAGTTACATCAACAACCCAGAAGCCTGAGACATGTCTAATATATTCAGAGAAAGTAAATACGTGGCTTCTGTTCCTGTGCCCACCCTTGCGTGGCAGAGGAGCTTATAACCAACAGGCAGGTATTGACAGCTGGCTAACACAAAGTGATGAGCTACCCCAGAACGTTCTGTACATCAGTGTTGGCAGTTTCTGTTCATATGCTAGAGCACAGAAAAGAATGTGTGGCTGCCCGAGACAGAAATAAAGGAAAATTGTTTTCTGCAAGTGAGGACCCAAGCAGACGAGCTGGGCAAACAGTGAGATTTGCTTTTCTTGGATTCAAGGTCTGGCTGTAAATACAGGCCAGTTTCTCTTCATTCCTCAGAATCCCACATGGGAGTACACACGCCATTGCTCCTTCCAGGCCTTCCTGTGACCCTGGCCAAGCCTATGAATCTGCTCTACATGGTGACACAGTAATATCCTTTAACTTATTCTTCAAACCTTTGCTTATGTCAGGTTCTGGAATTATAGCCCCCAAGGGAAATGAATGAGTGTGGAAGTGCACATTTTATTAGTGTAACAGGGATAAGAGTTCACACCAAACTCTTTATAAATACATAGTAAAAACTCTAAAAACCATGATCTTGTACTCAACAGGGCTGTTTAATCTTAAGTATCCCAAATCAATGGAAAGCAGGTGAGAACATCCTGTGTGGCCCTCCTGCAAGCCAGGAGTAGAGCAAGTTCAGAAAGCACATTTTTTTTTTTTTTGTGGGGGAGGAGGTTGTAACAATGGTTCCACTTTGAATGGTAAGCCCTGTGTGTCTGCCTCCCATGGACAAGAGGATTGGAAGTTGGATAGGGCGGGCACATACCGGGCAGGTAGAGATGCTCTGCTCCCACTGTGTCATGCTCAGACTCTCCTCCAGGCTTGTACATTTCTTCATCACCACATCCCAGCCACAGTAGGGGTCCTGAGCGCCAATGCAGGCACTGAAAGCACACGTGAAAACACATTGACTGTGCACTTCATTTACTGTAGGAAAATAGCCACAGGAAGTTTCTGGGAATGGAGATCTTTCAAGTGTAACCTATGAAACAGACCTAGATGAGGTAGGGGCTCGGAGGAAGACTAAAAGACCACTGCTTCCTGTGTTTACATTACCTCGCTGTGATAGACTGACTGGATTTGGGAGTGACTCTGTATTGAACTACCTCAAAGTAGCACATTTATGCTTGTAGCTCCCAAGAAGGGCCAGGGATTCATTCCTCATTGATAGAATGACACACCCAGCATGCATCTCACCTTGGGATCTGCTCCTCCTTTGACCCCATTTCCACAATTATGGGTGACTACAGCAGAACTACACCTAGAGAACCATTCAAAGGGCTCAAGTTTCTTTTTATGTTTTTATTAAAGTAACATGACCACTAGGTAAAATCCAGCTTCTGAAAGAGGAGACATTTAACAGACTCTCCTCCGCTCAGGCCTGCTTGCTTGCAAAGCTACCTGGAGAGCTGAAACAAAATTCTGTATTAAAGTGAAGGTTTTGGACTCCAAAACCCTGCCTGAAATAACAGCCCTGTCTTTCTATAATGCTGAGGGCTCTGGTTGCTTTTAACATTCCATTATTCTTTAAAAATTACAACTGCTATCCAAACACAAATGCCCACTCAATAGAAAGTCCACATGCTTATAATTTCCTCTCGCTTTACACCAAACCAAAGAATATGACTTAATATTTTTGGAAGTTGGGTCTCTTAATGAGGCCATATGAAAAAGAAGATTTTCCAGTGGATATGGCCATGGTAAAAGTGGAATTTAAAAATTATTTTACTCTTAAACTCAGTAAGAATATAATAAAGAAGAAAGATTAAAAAAATCAATGAGTTTAAGGTACTTGATTAGAAAAAAAATCACACCAACACTGTGAAAAACATGAGTAAAACTAATTATAAGTATTATTTTATCTGCTTTCCTGACAATAATTTTGTCCCTTAGATTTAAACATTTGCTATTGTAAAATAAAATATTAATATTTAATATACTTCAACATAGTTATCAAATTTAAAATTGTAATCAGGCCAAGAAAACTACAGAAGTAGGACTTTAAAATAATTCTGTCAGTTATGAAAATAGCATCCTACTGTTGAACACAATGAAACACAATGTTTCCCACAAGTCTTTATTCTTTTTTGCTACATATCAGAAAAGACATATGATTTTGTCAAAGACTCACTTGAAAGGAGCTCTGGTGGGTGAGATACTGGAGTTTGGAGCAACAAAGGCTAGTATACCAAGCCTGAGGACTGAATCAAGAACTATTGAGGCCCATTAAAGACCACTTCAAAGAGCAAACAAAATGCCGAGAAGAGAGCTTACTGTTCATTCACATTTGAGTCTCTTTACTTGTTCAGACAGACAAAGTGTCTGGTGAAGACTGTATTACATGGAGTAGAGTCTGGTACAATGGATGCAGCTGTGTAACAGCAATCTATGGGCCTGTCAGTTTCTCTTCACTTTAACAAAGACTACCCTAACTCATTGCATTTTAAGTGACAGGTTGCCTGCACGTAGCCAAGTCTGATCTTGAATGGATGTCCTACTGCCTCAGCATTCCAGGTCCTGAGACAGAGGCAAACACTACCATGTCCAGCCCTACCATGTAGCATGCTTGATTTTTGACTTGCATGCGGAACACAGGTGGCTTGGAACCCAACTTTCAAGGGAACGTGCATAGAGTACGAAAAGATCGCTCGTGAGCAATGCCATCTCAGCAGAACCTGTATTTATGTACAGCAACACTTCATCAGGAAAGAAAGTGAATCATGTTGTATTGAATTCTTATTACGTGCTACCTGCTACAAAGTCTCCATCTCTGCTACTACTCTTATGATCACATGCCCAGAGAACCTGAGCCCTTGTTCCTTGTCGTATCCTGATGACAATTCAGGGTCAGAATGCGTCCCAAGTTCATAATGGTTTTATATGTAGGATGTTTTATCAGCACACGGGGAATCGTTATATTCTTAAAATCATGAGTTCAGTAAATAATACAGCAACAAAATCTTAGGGAGTAGTTCAGGCACTGCTGCTGTTGACAGTCTTGGAGCCAAAGATGTGGCTGCAGCCCAGGTATTCCATGGAACAGTTTGCACAACTGTGCACCTGACACTCAATAGTAGGAGGCCTGTGGAGTAGCTACCAGACAGGGACAAGTATTCTTAGCAAGGCCTTTCAGCTGTGCTTCTCCACTAATGAATAAAGCTACCTCACTGACTGGTTAGGACACACCAATTATGTATATTTCTGTTTAGACTAGCATCATGCTGTCTTTATATATGCAACAGGAAGAAGACTCCTAAACTGTTGGTTAGCTAAAGCAATACTAAGGGAAACTCAGAGCCCATAGGAGTCCATTTTACCTGTGGAATATTTTTAGTGCGCTTGACTGTTCCTAATTGTCGGGCAGAGTGAATGAAATTTTATGTAAGAAGTGGGAAATAGTAAGAGCTGGAGAGGACTGAAACTCCACAAGGAGAGCAACAGAACAAGAAAATTTGAACACAGGGAACTTCCCAGAGACTCATACTCCAACCAAGGACTATTCATGGAGATAACCTAGAACCCCTGCACAGATGTAGCCCATGGCAGTTCAGTGTCCAAGTGGGTTCCATAGTAATGGAAAGAGGGACTGCCTCTGACATAATCTGATTGGCCTGCTCGTTGATCACCTCCCCCTGAGGGGGGAGCATCCTTACCAGGCCACGGTAGAGGACAATGCAGCCAATTTTGATGAGAACTGATAGACTAAGATCAGAAAGAAGAGGAGGACCTCCCCTATCAGTGGACTTGGGGAGGGGCATGCATGCAGAAAGGGGAGGGAGGGTGGGATCGGGAGGGGAGGAGGGAGGGGCTTATGGGGGGATACAAAATGAATAAAGTGTAATTAATAAAAAATAAAAAAAGTTAAAAAAAACCTATATGCGGCCCCTACCACTGTCACGGTAATGCGACTGCGCTGCAACAATTCACTGCAATGGGCAGAAAATAGTTCACTGCAATAGGCAGAGAAGCACTTATGATTCAGAGGTGCAGAGACGAGGTCTCGGCACTGTGGAAGACAGGGAGACCACAGTGTGATGATGTGCACACGTTTTCTTTGTTTTTACAGTGTACATGGACCGATATGTGTTGTTATTGCCGAAGGTAGATCTATCATTAAGTGGTGGCTCACTTCATGATACTAAAGTAATCAGTCCTAGGGACTGTGCATGTATAACATGATACCATCTTTAGTGAGACACCTCTCAAACTGGGCGTGCTACACATCCTATGAACATCAAGCCTGTGCCTTTTCCTAATAAGTGCACAATGAGCAATAATGTAATGTACAGTTATTAGCACTAGTGAAGGTCACAGTTCTGTTCTGTCTCCATCACATTTTGAGAGGTTCTGCTTCACCTTGGCCAGTTTTAGGCGATGTTATAATAACGCTAAAGGACGTTGTGCTCCAGCCTGACCCTGCTTGGGATTTCTCCTCCAGAGAGCTCTTTGGACTGCTGCTGTAAGTAGCATGTGGGTATATGTAGGTTCTCTCCCTCTATATTTAAACAGTTACAACTATTGCACTCATAGAGAAGTTACTACAGTCACCATTTAATGGCTTCAGAGTAAGCCACTGAGTGAAAAATCCATCGATTGCGTTATCGTGACCTGGTGCTTAGTTCTAGAAGTTGAGAATTAGAAAACCAGTTATAATTCAGGTATGGCTTAAAAATAATTGGACATCAGGTGAGGGTATTAATTCCTAGCATGGTCTAGGATTAGGTTTAATGATAAATCCATTTTGGAATAAAATGTAATACAACCCCAAGAACCTTTGATTCAATTCTACATTAGATATTCAGATAATTTTATTTATGGCAGAATTTCCCATTAGACTCTGAACCCCACATACGCAGGGTCAGGGATGAATCATTTGTCATCATGCACTCAGGAATTGGCTTCGTGTTTAGAATGCTTTAAATGCTATAAATACACTGTGAACGAGATGGCAAAGGAAACCACCGACTTCCACAGGCTTAGTGAATAAATGCCAACGTAGCCAAAAGTTCGGGGCATTGAGATTTGAAAAATCAATAAATTAATCGTAGAAGGGGAACATTTACTTTGTAAATTGAGTGTTCATCAAAAGTTCTCCTACACTTGTGTGATACCCAACTAGATACAGTAGGTGGACCATGGGGGATTTGTTATTTTTTTCAGTGTGTGGTATACTTTCTGATTGGGCAGCTGGTGTCTTTAGAGAACATTTAATTAATAATGGTGCCAACCTATTATGTCTACCTTTGAAAACTTTGCCCTTTAAAGCAATGGATGTCCTACAGCACTTATTTTCCACACTAATTTTCTTAATGAAGAATTAATTCTTTTAGCTTAATGACACTATTACACACTAACTAAATTAAGACTGACCAAACATAAGCTGTGCCCAGTGAAGCCCAAGATTTTTTTTTCTTAATAGTTCCTCTATCTTTCTAGTTTTAAAAAACACAATTCTAGAGGAGTCTATTTCCTATTTGGGGTCTGTTTCCTATTTGGGGTCTGTTCCTGGGCCAACTTTTCTTTTCTCCACAATTATGTCATACAACATAAGTGCCAAAGGATCCTAGGCTTTCACTCTTTGCTATTTATAGCACCATACCTTTCTACTTTTTCATAGAATGTTAGCCGCCACAACTAAGCTATGAAAAGACAGTAGAGACAACAGAAGCAGGGCCCACCCGTCAATTCATCAAATATAAACTGAGCATCTTTTGAAGTGGTGGTGCTGGAGGCCAAAGGAACCTGGAATCAGAGACCAAGCCAGGCCTTAGAGATCAAGACGCCATAGCAAGCTAGGACCTGTACTGGTCTTCGTTTCTGCTCTAAGACTGTGGTCGCTGCCTCTTACACATGGTGTCTTCGATCCCTCATATACAGAATGTGAGCTCTATGACTTGGTAAGCTAATCTTACCTTTCATAGGTAATGAGTGTCAAACAAACAAACAATAAATACATGAGAGTTTCCAAAGTATAGAAATCCCACAAGATTCAGAACATTCGGTTTTGTAATTAATCTTCTGTAATAAATCTTTGCAATTTAATCATTTATGAAGTTTAAGAACATTTGCCGAGCTGCAGATCTAGTCAGGGCACACTTCTTAAAGTGACTTTACCAGTGTATGATGAACCTTCCCACTAATCTTTCAAGCTTTGAAGAGCTGTGACTATCTAAGGACTTGCAAAACTTCCAGAGGTGGGAGGAGATAAAGCTGGACTTCTAGCTATAGCTAATAAAGCCTGAGTCGGGTGGTCATCTCTGTTTCCTGACTCAGTGACATGGGAACTCGCTAAGTCCATGTCCAAGTGTACCAACACTCTAAGTGCCAGGTTAGGATTTTGCATCAGTGTGTAAGCCAGGCAGGGCTCTAGCTAGTGGCTGTTCTGTCAGTTCCACCCTGCGCTCTGCCGTCTAGAACTTTTCCTTCCTCAAAGGACTGACACTGGCAGTGTACAGCACGCAAAAAGGGCCCAGGAGGTGGCACTCATGAGATATTGTCAAACATTAACCTACGGGTGGGATGTTAGATCCCAGGTAACTCAAAACCCAGTGAATATCAGCTTGTCTTTGGAAATATATAAATATGAATATGCCCAGTCATTGTGTAGAAAAGTATATTCACAGACATGACATCAACTCCAAGGCCCTGGATTTAGCTTGATCATCTGCATGATCATCCATGATAGCCATGAAATGGTAACATCCAAACATGCTAACATTAAAATAAATATATTTGCTCACTTTTGTGACAAAATTTAACTAAAGTATAGCTTTAAGGTCTTTTTCTTCTAAGATAACTTATAGAGAAATGTCCATGATAACATTCTGTTTTCTGAGCTACAAGGAAAATGAGCCATGGACCGTCTGGCAGCCTCCCCCAAGGATGTAGGAACACCCTGAGAAAAAGTGGAACAGATACTCAGCTTGGGATGCTTTGGAAACCCATTTCATGCTGGTGTCATCTGCCATAGAGCAAGCACAAAGGTGTGGAGGCTGATAGGAAGACATTGCAGCTAGCAAGGTCCATGTTCCCGGTCCTAGAGCGGTGGTTTTCAACTTTCCTAATGCTGCAACTCTAACATAGTTCGTCTTGCTGTGGTGACCTCCAACCATAAAATTATGTCATCATTACTTCATAACTGTAGTTAACAAGGAGCAAACAATATAGCATGGATTTGGGGACAGACAGGCTGGTCCTCATCTGAGTGAGTCACTGAAGGAGATGTGTGACATTGGGTGGGACTTCTGGACTTACAACCTTCATCTGAACAACGAGAATAGAAAGATAAAAACTGCTGCAAAATTACATGAATTGTCTTTGAAAAACTGATAACCAACAGAAGGAAAAATATAAAGATTTTTGTAAAACAATTTTCCCCTTCAAAAGTGTTATATTTATGTTTGTGGCACATTAATTACATATGCATTCTCTTTTTAAATATTGCAAAATTTCATTTATGAAATTGATTTCTTAAAACTAAAACCAAATTATTGATATTTTACTACAGAATGGCATTTGGCAAAGAAATTATCACATAATCTTGTAATTAGCCCATTCCTAATTAATGTGCCTCATTAAGCATATTTCTGGAAAATCAAAATCATTTCTCTAAAAACAAACTTCTATTTTTCCTATAACTTGTTTTAAAAATCCAAGCATGCAGTGTTTAAAAAATAGAGTCTTCTTGTGAGTTTTAACTGGGGAGGCTTTCTCAGTTTTCTATATGAAGAGGATTCTTGGAGAAGCACACTGGAAGACACACAGAGGGATACTTGGTTCACAGCCTTTAGAATTTCCTTCTGAGATGGAATACTAAGAGCCAGACACAAGCCTACCAGCTGTGGCACACAGAAGCCCAGTGTATTGGTTCACAATGGAGCCATGCTCTCTTGCTGCTTCACTCCAAGCAGGTGAAAAATAAACAGAGGGGAGATTCAGCTACAAGAGAAACATGAGCTCCTCCTTTCCTGTGGAGGCTAAGGATGACCCACACGTGGCCTTATTCTTCCCCAAGTAAGCAAAAACTGTTCACTTCAGGCATCTGCACCTTGTTGGTCCAGCCTTTGTGGCTGAAGGATCATGGCATGGCAGCCAGTGGAGACTATATCTCTTTGGTAATCGGACCCATGATTTAGTTTCCCGAGCTGAAAGGAGCTGAGGTGACCTATACTCATTGAAAGAAAGTAGAGTGAAAGCAACTAATTGTGTCATGCTTTGCAAATGCAATCCTATTCAAGGACATGAGCCTCTCCCATGGCACAGGCCATCTTGTCCTGCCTGTTATCCGGTCCTGATCCCAGAAAGTCCCCTGGTGAACTTGGCTCTAACAGAGCAAGACGTGGGGAACTGGTCTCCTTGCAGCCATACTTGGTTAGGATATGCCTCTTGGCTGTACCCCAAGCATCCCTGTTATCCGGAGAATGGTCAGCATCCAGAAAGAAGTGACATCTGCCTCAGACTAGAATTGCAGGAATATACACAGGAACATGTTTCAAGCAGCCTTTGGTTGAGGTTAGAAATCAGACATATTCAAAGGATGGCCACTAAAAAAGTCACTGTCCAGCAACAACAATCATAGTACAATCAGTAAGACTGCCCAGATACTGTTCTTTAACTCTTCCTGATACCAAGAAAATGTCACATAGATTTCATTTTCACCCTGAAGGGAATACTGTATGGTTATACATAAAAAAAAAAGAAAAAAGAAAAACTTTCCTTCTACATAAGAACATGCAAAGAGCTTTTGATTTTACAGAGTATATATCATCTAATTTGATTCTATAGCAACCCACATGTGTGAGGTGAGACAGTGAGGCTGAAGTCCTTTGGGAGCCATGGTCAAAATTATCAGTGACAGGTGTATACTATGAATTTCCTGCCTCAGGCTCCCTGTATAGAAACAGAATGGCCTGAGCATGGCAGGGTCTTGCAAGCACTGTAGTAAAAATGTCACTTTTACATAAACCTTTAGGTATGTCTTGTTTAGGGGAATGGATATAAACAAGGACACCAGCTCCTCTACAGCAGAATTGTGTCATAGGTCAGAATTCATTTTCAATTTCCAACACTACAACTGTTACAGTAGTAGTCAAGTTCATGGAGCTTACAGACCTCTTCCATTTTTTAAGCACCTGAGGCTGTGTGCTTCCAAGCTAAACTTCAAAGTACCTTGAGGACAACACTGGACACTCCTCAGAAAACAAGAGGATGGGACTGGAGAGATGGCTCAGACATTAAAGGCTAGGCTCACAAACAAAATTTCAAGAAAAGCTTTGATGGCACTCTGTACCTCCAGGATTTCCTTCCCTTAACTACTGTTTACATGATGATGGAACATTAGGATTAAACTGCAGCCAAGGGTATTAGGGAGCAGGACATTTTGCTATAGATAATCTACAAAGATGACGCTTTGGACCAGAATTAATGCTTCAAGGGGCTCTAAGAAGAAGGGCATAAGCCTTCTTTATCATACATTCTCTGTGTGTGTGTTCAAATAAAATATTAACTTATGCTTATTGACTAAATCCCAGCATTTTCACTGAGCATTATACTGAATAATTCATTTACATACCTATTAATGCTCATAATTGTTACCCGTATGGTTCTTCCAAAGATAACCACGGGTTAGTGACATCATAGAAACCCATTTCAATGAAGATCCTGCATCCGGGAATGTAATATGCACATAAATGTAATGCTCTACAGCGCTCCAGCTGCAGGAGAGTTGAAAGGCTTCTTGTCACATGTGCCCTCACCCTTGGGATTGCTTACCTCCGAGCTTGATGAAAGTGGCACCTCTTCAGGGGGATCTTGGCCACATGCTCTTGCAGCCCCACAAATAGGACACTCTGGCTGTGGAGGATCTGTAGACTCCTGATGGGCTCTCTCCTCTTCTCTGGGAAAAGCTCAATCTCTTCCAGCAAACAGCTGCCCGAGCTCTGACTCAGGGGGGCCCGCACTTTCTTAATGGTACCGTAATCTGTGAAAACGAGACAGGAAGGAAATAAAGCACACAGGTGAAGCAGAGTTATGTACAAAGCACACAGCGCATGAAGGCATCTAGCATCTATCAGTAACGCAGAGCCCTCTTCCGTGGGCCACTCTGGAGGAAGAGTTCTGGCACCCATGTCCTCTAAAGCTCTGCAGTGATGCTCCAGTGCAGCCAATGATGAGAGCTGCTGATCTCCCTCTGGCCTCCTCAGTTGCAAGCCCAGGAAAAGGAGCCATGCTAAACCTCACTGCCTATCAAAACAGCTGTAGGATAACAGGAGAGAAAAATCCCAAAGAGCTCATCTTGGGTCCTCGATGTCAGTGTGCTGACTGCTGCCCATGCACACTAGATACAAAGTGATTGGGGATGCGAAGACAAGGTCATTTTGTGATTTCAGAATTCACTCCTGTCTGAACTGATCCTAGTCTTCCTGGCCCCAGGTTCTTGCATTTGGTCTTGCCCTTGGCAAGGGCCCTTTGCACCACAAAGACTCTGCAGGTGGGATGCGGAGCAGGTTGCACAGCAGGTTCCCAGTGCTGTGACCCATTAATACAGTTCCTCGTCTTGTGGCAACCCTCAACCATAAGAGTTTTCATTGTTACATTATATACTGTAATTTTACTACTGCTATGAATTGTAATGTAAATATCTCATCTGCAGGATATCCTGTAAAAGGGTCATTCAACTCACAATGGGGTTGCAACACACAAGTTAAGAACTACTGTCTCAGCTCACCCATCTAGGGCTTAGTGGAGACAGATAAATGTGTGTCAGGGAGATGTACAGGAGCTGGAAGGCCACTGTTGTTTGCCTGCAAAATCCAGATGTCTTGAAGCACCGCCAATAATTATCAGCACTATCTGGAGTCTTCTTGAATGCACAAACTGAATAAGCCTACCATGGTTTTGAGTTTTCAGCGACATGATTATTGTTTTATAAATGCAGAGCCAGCTTTAGAAATCATCTTAAAAGCAGAAATAAAACTAGGGAGCTTTAGCTTCAGGGAGCTTCAACCAAGGAAGTGAAAAAGACTCGATACAAAATGCTTTACACCCTTTATCTTTATGGAAGTCCCTAGATAATGAGACCATTAGCATTTAAAGAGAAAACACGTGTGCACACACATATTAGTTTGACTTTACCTAAAATGTAAATATCTCCAGTGAACATTTCCGCGAAGAACGGCCACATCTCATGTACACGGTGTCTGCAACAACTGCTTAACTTTGCTTCACACTAGCAGGATAAATATATCAGTTCTGAAAAATACCCAGCACACTTAGAGGACTGAACGGAGTGTGCCTCTGTGTATCATAACACTGGCAACAGTGGCCATTCAGAAAAGTCACGGCTCACAAACCTAACAATGAAAGACTGTTTTGATAAAGCCTTTAGTCTATAATAAAACTTCTTTCTGACTCGACGGCCACAGTTCATGTTCAGCCTTGGTGATTTCAGTCCATCCTGCACAGGGCAATAGAAAGCATAACATATACACAGCATGGAGGCTTAGGCAAGGTAAGATGGGAGCTTCAGGGATAAGAGGTGACCTGAGTTCAGATTATCTCAGCCACAAGACTCTGAGACTTCCAAAAAACAGAAATGGAGTTGTAGGCCTCCCAGGGAGCAACAGAGTCCACACCTCTGCTGTGGGATGTCATAGCAACAGAGAGAATGCTAGTTCAAGTCAGAGACTGGGGAGAAGCCAGTGGCTACCTTGAGTGACATGGCTCAAACAGTAAGAAATTACTGGGGTAAGGCTGAAACTCTAACCAATTCCTGGGGCAGTGAGGGGCAGGACCCATGAGGGTCCAACAGGAAACTGACAGTGACTACTTTGTGAATGGTGTGCAAAACACAGCTTTAAGCTAGAACATATTCAACAGTTAAACAAAAATGCCTCTGTATTTATTATTTATTTTGTTTATGAATTAACACTTTGAGAAACCTGCCAAAATTAGTAATATAAAAATACTGTATAGGAAATGAAGAAGAGATGCGTAAGAAGCAACTTGTGTACAGGGAACTGGCATGGCTTCCTGCTTGTTGTACCGTCATCCTCAAGGTCATTATAAGAGAGTAAGACCATGACAGGGTGTGTGAGCACAGAGCAAGGATGAGGCTCAGGAAAGGGAGGAAAGGGCTGGAAGAGTACAGAATTAAACTTTTGTTGTATGGCTCAGGATCATGTGTCTACCTGATCAAATCTGACTTTTATTCTTTTATTTTAAAACACATTAAATTCAATTTGTGTTGCCCAAATACTCTTGGTAGTAAGGCATGGTTAATCTCCCGGGGGATACATCACTAAAGAAAAGTGACTCCCCCTCTGCCAACAGCTATCAAATGACAATACCCGTCAGGTGGTGGGGGAATGTTGTGTTCATCTCTCCCTTATACAACCTCAATGCTCAGTTTTGTACAACTTTAGTTTACACAGGCCTTGGGTACATTGTCTCAATTGCTGGGAATTCCTGAACACAATGCCCTGTTGTGTTTGCAAAACACTGTTTCCTCTGAGTTATTTATGATCTAACATTTTAATAATAATATATAAATATATATTATATAAATAAAACTTTGAACCTAAAATAGATACGGTTAGGTCTACATGATACATCATAGTTAAAACTGAAAGACTACAGAAAAAGACTATTAAAATCTCGTAAATTTATGAAGACTAACCCATCAGGATAATATCAGACCTCTTAGCAGAAACCCTAACACAAGCAAAATATGGAAGAAGGAAGTCCAGATCATGAAAATAAGTGAACTGCCAAGGAAGATTATTATCTGCAGCAACTGTCATTTGAAATTGATGAAGAATAAAGTCATTTTATGAAAGGGGGAGATAGTAAGACCTGGAGAGGACAGGAGCTCCACAAGGAAAACAACAGAACCAAATAACCTGGATGCAGTGGTCTTTTTTGACACTGATACTCCAACCAAGGACAATTAGTGGAGATAACTTAACACCCCTGCACAGATGTAGCCCAAGGCAGTTCAGTATCCAAATGGCCTCCACAGTAATGGGGACAGGTACTGTTTTTGACATGAACTGATTGGCCTGGTCTTTGATTACCTCCCCCTAAGGGGGGAGCAACCTTACCTGGCCACAGAGGAAGACAATGCAGCCCGTCCTGATGAGATCTGATAGACTGGGATCAGAAGGAAGGAGAGGGGGACCTCCCCAATCAGTGGACTTGGGGAGGGCCATGAGTGGGAAAGGGGAAGGGAGGGTAGGGTTGGGAGGGGAGGAGGGAGAAAGCTGCAGGGGTGATACAAAGTGAATAAACTGTAATTTAAAAAAAAAGTAAAAAAAAAAAAAAAAAGCACAAACTGAAGCAATTCATGACCAACCTGGCACTGCAGAACACACTTCAAATAATTCAGAGGAGGAAGAAAAGTCTTAATCTTGGGGCTCAAGAAGAAATACATTTTGTAGAAATAATCAAATAAAAATCAATAATGACCAAATCAGCAAATTGGAAAACTGCTTATATGAATGGAAAAGAAGGAAAACATTTTCTTAATATTTCAATATTCTTGAAATATTAAGAAAAGCAACTAATTAAATGTGAAGAATCATTCAACAATCTTTCAGTAATAACCCATAATGTAAATGGTCTTAACTATTTAATTAAAACACACAGCCTAGCTGATAGCTGATTGGATAAAAAAACACCATCTAATTGTTTGTTTCCTACAGTTCATACTCTGCTGTGTCCCAGTATAGCTAAATGTAGACATGGCAAAAAAAAAAAAAAAAAAAAAAGAAAAAAAGAATAAGAAAAGGTTTCTTTCTCTACACACACACACACACACACACATGCACACACATACATAGGCACACACACACACACACACATAGGAAATCAAGCATGTGGGCTTTGGGAAAGGAATCTTTCCCCAGTTCTCCATTTCACTCCCATTATTTCTTAGTAAATGGTCTCTTTTGGTCTTTATTTTTTTCAAAAGAATCATCAAACATGTAGTGAACCATAGGCATTCCTGGAAGTATTTGCCATGTCACCTTGTAGAATTTGATTACAGCTTTGATTATGACCACACAGCTTGAACACTTTAAAATAGCCATACCTATATGCCATAAAAAAAAAAAAAGAGCAAGAACAGATGTTGCATGAGACACTTTTGCTAGGATTTGAGGCTGCTGTATGTTATGAATTTTAGTGTTTCAAAGGCTATACAAAGCTTTCTATCTTACAGAAACACAGTGGTCTACAAACCTATAAAAAAACAGTTTTAATAGCTTCCTACTATTACTCCTCAACATAAAATTATCAAATCAGTTTACCTTTATATTGTATTAAAATGTTTGATTACTGCTATTTCAGTTTACTGATGAGTTTTAGTAAAAATTGTTAAATAAAATTTGGCTTTGTATTTCAACAGAATATCCAACCATTTCTAAAATGGCTGAATGTAAACATATTTCTGCCATTTTCTTTTATGTATTTAAGCAAAACAGCATTCTTAGAATTAGTGATTATGAAAGCAAATTAATAATTAGCTCAAGCAAATGTTAAAAGATTTCTTTATCCTGAAATACCAAGTATCAACAAAGATTTAATTGTTTATATAGGATTAAACAAACATCCATTAGCCTGCAAGTTTGTTGTTTTACAACATATTTCTTTATCTTTTATTGCCAGTGTATGTTTAATTTTTATATCTATTTCGTATGTATCTATATCTTGAGTCACTTGAAAATTTATCAAGTGGGGTCATGAGTAGAATTAGTTTAAGAAGAACTAATCTAAATGAAACACACCTCACTGGCAAAGATACATACAGACTTAACAAGTAAAGGCTGAAAATAAACATATCAATAAGGTGGAAGAAAAAATAAGTAGAAGTAACTGCTCTCACATGTGATAAAGACTACAAGATAAAATTAGTCAGAAAACATAAAAGGCCACATTATATTAATGGAAAGAATGATTTCCAACAGCACCACAGGCACTGCA